GGATCTTGCCGCTGCTTGCGACTACTTTCGCGTTGCATTATACTGGCGAGTACATGTACAAGCTGTACCACAAGTCGAGAGAAGATATCGAGAAAGGCGATTTTGGACCCTTGGCGGAGTTGCACAGCGCAAGCTCAGGACTGAAGAGCCTGTGTACGACGCTTGCTGCGGATGGCATCGAGACCTGTCGACGCGCAATGGGCGGCCACGGTTTCGGTGGTGGGAGTGGGCTGGTAGGGCTAAACGGTGACTACCTCTCCAAGCCAACTGTGGAGGGCGACAACTGGATGATTACCCAACAGGTTGCTGCATACCTCATCAAGAAGATGTCGAATGCGGTCAAAGACCCAGACTCACCGGCCAAGGATCCAACGGACGAGCTCTTCCAGTTTTATCTTCGCAACAAAGACCATCGCTTACCTCAGAACGTCTTGAAAGACGGTGTTGTAGATGACCAAGGTATAGTCGACGTGTTCCAGTGGCGTGCGGCTGATCTCTCCTACCGCGCTTATCAGGCACGTGTTGTTGAGAAGAAGCCGTGGACACGTCTGATGATCCAACTTCATAACCTCAGCCGCGCATACTCGGAGCAAATTCTCGTCACAAACTTCTACAACAGCCTCACCTCCACAGCTCCGCCTGAAGCGCCCGCCCTACGCACATGCTTCCAGCTGTACGCGCTTTACACCCTTGACCAATTCGCCTCTTCATTTACAATGACGGCCGCCGTGCCGCCCGAGTCGGTCTTTGCCTTGCAGGATGGGATCATCGACCTTATGGCCGAATTGAGACCACATGCGGTGAAGCTGGTGGACGCCTGGTCGATACCAGATTGGCTGTTGAACAGTGCGTTGGGCAGAAATGATGGTAGGGTGTATGAGGAGCTTTTCGACATGGCGCATCGCAGGAATCCGCTCAACAAGGTAACGTTCAATCCGGACTGGCGCAGCGAGGAGATTGTGTTGGGAAGTGAGGATGGTGGTCGGCACCTGTTGGCGAAGCTATAGCATGAGCGCATCGCGTCGTCGAAAATTACTGTCTGTGCATGTGCGTCGTGTTGACTTCGCTACTCCTGTGGTTTTGGTGCGGACACCTGTCAGATGTTGATGTGGACGAAATTGAAACTCGGGGTAGCGTGAAACAAAGTCTTCCAATGTATGCGGTTACCCCTTTATGCTTCCGGCACCGGTGAGAAAACTTCGCAATGTTCAAGACACAAGCGCATTGGCACGTCATAGTAAAGGCGAGCTGTCGAGAGACTTGGGTGAATACTCCGCAATTCATAGTGATTTCCAAACCTTAAATTCGCGGAGCGGTCCAGTCAATCTTACTAGTCGCCCGTTGGAAGAGGGCCGATTACTGATTGCTGCCAACGCCCAATGACAAGTTGATGTCATGGTTTTAGGCCTCCGAACGCTGGAGCCGTTGAAAATGACATGCCATCTTTCCCTGCTAGACGACCGTTGAAACATTGGCATCGCGTGTTCGCGATGATCGGGTGCGTATCGGGAGTTGTTGGTCGGCGTATTTGAGGCGCTCCGAAAGTAGGCGGCCTGCATCGACCTTGCAGACTAATACTGGAGTCCAGAATAGATGAGGGGATAGATACACCAGAAAGAGTAAAATCTTCGACACTAAGAAGTCTGAATCTTATCTGGCTGTGCCTCGAAACATGCATGGAGTTGAACGCCTCGTCTGGTGTTGCAGCATCGTCGCAGTCGGCAAGCGGGAGGCCGCTGAGCGCCAAGACACCACTAAGTCCTGAGTCAGCAACGAGAGATGCCTGTCGCTTGTGACGCAGTTATGCAGTCTACGGCACATCAACCCACTATGCAGCACCGTTTTCCCGAGCACCGGGCCTGACCCCATGCCCTTCGATCTCTGCCATTCAACCCTTATGGTCCATCTTCCGCCAGTCACCGGGCGCTCCATTCCAAGCTCGTAAAAGCGTGGCCTGGGTTTCAGCCTGATCCTCGCTACGCCTTTTCTGGCTCAGGACCCTTCGGATGACCACGCAGCACATTCGCGGACCGGAGAGGAGACATAGTTATTAGACTTGACGTTCTTTGTTCTGTGCAATCGGATGCCCGCGCTAGTGTTTGCTTCGTAGGAACTTTACCTGAGCCTGAACAGCAGCGACCGCGGAGCTTGCCGCCCTTTCGTCTTACCGCCTCATCGCCTCCAGAGCATAAGCATGTCCTATCGTGGCCGACCCAGTAAGGGATGCGAGGCTTGCAGAGCCCGTAAAGTCAAGGTACGCATCTCCTTCTGTCCACTTCTGCGAATTGCCCTGCTTTCCATGCTGCACCACGCGCAAGGCAACGACGGTCATGCAGACAAGGCTGATGCCAGAGTAGTGCGATGAGGGTAGACCCGCTTGCAGTCGATGTAGCAAGGCAGGCCATGAATGCAAATATCGAGACCAAGCCGACATCCTCTTTCGGAACCAAACGGCATCGGCCGCGCAAAGAGCAGAAGAGTCGTGGCGGAAGCGATCAAAGTCAAACCAACGTGCTACCGTTGCCGAAAGTAGCAACGCCTACAGCAACACCTATAATAACACCTATATCAAAACGCCACCAAGCGACGAGTCAACACCACCTCATCTGGATGACACGCGCTCTTCCAGCGGTAGTGTACATTCTCCTGGTGGCTCTGTGGATGACCCGGCTCAAGAATCATCAAGCGTTGCGTCCGCAACCATCGATCTAAGTCGGCTGACTATTACTCCGTCGCTCAATCCGGACTTCCGTAGAAGAGCTTTTGAGCGCTTTGTGTACGACTTTGTGCTGCCCGACTCGCCGAACCGACCAGCCGACCAACCAGATGAAGCGCTGTGGACATTTATCCCGCTCTTGTATCAAGACGCACCGGAGAACTCATTGATCGCGACAGCGGTTGACGCAGTATCTTACGTCAACTTCGCTAATAGATACAATGATTCTCATGCGCAAGCACTAGGTGAGGAATGCGTAGGAAGGGCCCTTCCGATGTTGACAAAGGCAATCGCGGACAAGAAGCAGGCAGCCACGAATGTTGCGCTTTGCTCAGTGCATCTGATGGGCATCTACGAGGTACGCCCGTTCGTTACAGCTTAATGGTACGCGTGATTCTAACATGATGAACAGAATCTTACCAGCGTGCAGCGGAAAGGCACCTTTTTGGCTCACAACCAAGGCGCAAATGCGATGCTTCAGTTGCGGACGGTTGAGGAGTTCTACAGCGACATCATATCAGCCCGACTTTACGAAGTCATCTATGCACATCTGGTAATCGCCGTCACAAATGAACACCTTTTTCCCGCTGATGGCTAACCTTGCGACAGCTATTAGGCAACTTACAGGCAGCAAGACGGCCGCAAATACCTACGAGAGATGTGGTCAAAGTGGACGAATTACTTCCAAGTCTATACAAGAACTCCAACGCCTTTGTCATTCGTCTAATTTGGCGAGCGGCAATGCTACATGCCAGATGGCACGAAACCAAGCAAAGTCCAAACCCACCAACCAACCGCATGGCCTTGCAAGAACTTCTACAGAGCGCGCTCGAACTAGAAAGCGACTACGAAGCTTGGGAGGCAAATGTTACACCGGCTTGGAACTACCACATGACACCCAACACACCGGAGGCTCGGTCGACCTACGACGCCAAGTTGCAAAAGCTTTTCTTGGGTTGTCCAGGCGCACCGGAAGAGATTCACATATACCCGAGCTTGAAACGCGTCTGGATCTGGGGCTTCTACCGTACGAGCCGCATACTTGTTCTACGTGATCTGCTCGAGATGTTGAATTGGATGTTGAGGTTCCGCGACCCTTGCTTATCTTTCCGCCCTCAAGAAGCCGCAGGGCAGTCCATGCCTACTGCTCTGAGCAATGCAAATCTCCGCATGCATCACTCGATCGCTACCGCTCGCCTAGTCGAGGTCATTGAGAAGAACTGTTCCTCTATACTTGGCAGCTTTACTGTACCGATAGATACGAAATCTGCCACAGATATATGTGGTATGCGGGGCTATATCTGCATATGGCCCCTGGGTACGATGGATTCAGTACTTAGCTCAGGTCTTGTGCCGGATAGCAATGCAGGCAAGCATCCGCACAGCGCTACTCATCTACCAACACCACCACCAGTCCATTCGCAACCACATCTGGCCACATCCACTTCCAACGCGTCTTCCTCGAGTGAGCCGTCGACGGCCCTGGAATCCTACGAAGCGGCACCGCCATTCTCCGAACTCCGCAACATTCGCTCCAAGTCGGAAAGCGACCAATCACCTGGCGCGAGTCCGCCATCGAACACTCCGGTCTTGGATCAAAACGCAAAGAAGAATCACATCTTTGACCCCAACCCTGCGCACCCGTACGATCACCCGCTAGACCTACCTCCACTCGACCACGGGGTAGAGCCCAGGAGGATAGACATTGCGGCACGGCGAGAATGGATAAACCGGCTAATGTACTACATGGCCACAGAACTGGGGCTGAAGAAGGCGCTATGGTGCCCAGTCATGCAAGGCTACATGCCCACCGTGAAACCCATGGTTGACGAGATTCTCAGCCAGCACAGAGGTTTCTAAAAACTCGAATCACGCATTTGGCAACGGAGTATAAGCAACAAGGGCATCTCGTTGGCGTTTTTGAGATTATGTCTTTTGCATTTACGAAAGGAAATATGGGGTTGGATGCACGATTTGGTAACATATTTGTTCACGTACATATATTTCGGTTCGAAGCTGCTTGGATATATACGAAAGTTATGGCTTGTATTTTGATACATGAGGGTGCTGTCTAGTGAAAGGGAGCAAATTGTGAGCTGACTCGGTTAGAACAAGCGTTCACGACTACAGTCTTGGTCAAGAGTGGGTAAGCAATAGCTCGCTGAAGTCCTGACATTCACAGTTCGACCTATATAGCCATCGCCCATTAGTTCCAGCTGCCGTTGCGATTCAGTGCGACCAACCGCCATCAACCGATTTCCACCAGAGAAATCCCCAAACTCAAATGGACGGACACAGGATGAATTACGTCGCAACTCTGCCTTCCATCCCCGAGGAGGCCGTCGAAAAGCACGACATTATGTAAGTTCTGTCTCTGGAACTGTCGCTGCAAATGTTCGCTCGACCCGCTGACATGCACAGCACAGAAGCCAATGCCAAGAACTCACCCTTGCTGCGCCTCCCAGGCGAGCTGCGCAACAAAATATACGGCTACGCTCTCGCCGACTCTTCCATTGAACCACTGCTGGACCGGCGGACTGCCTCAGTACACACTCGAACAAACTCGGGCGGGCCCATGTCCCCCACCGTCTCACTCCTTCGAACATGTCGTCAGACCCGGTCTGAAGCCGAGTCTCTCTTCTTTTCCTACACAACCTTCGGCTTCAATTATGCGCGATATGACTTTCATCGTTTCCTAGGACACATTGGGCGTGAAAAGAGGGAACTCATCACGTCGATTGCCATGCTATTCTCTACGCTTGAATTGCTTGAGCAATACGAGGGGCGGTATAAGCTTCCACGGCTGGAGTACGTTTACGTGAGGGTGTCTGCTGAATATCATGAATACTATCGCAAGGGAAACACGGAAACACTACAGAGGGTTGCTGGGATAATGGGGAAGAAATTGGGATGTGAGACGGCTACGTTCGTTCCGAAAGTATATGTTTGTCCGTGTGATCGTTGTCAGGTAGATAGGAGTGGTGGTAGATTTGGTATGAGACAAGAAGATCACTCGTGTCTTCAGGCTGTCTCGGGTCGCGAGGACGTCACCTCGTCCTCGAGATGCAGCCTCATGTAGTTAGCGCTAAGTTGCAGTCACCATCACCGTTTGTCTTCATGCAGACCCTGTACTAGCGTCGCGGCCGGCATTGACTGACAGCTACCCAACCAACTACCTGCTATCTCGATCCCATAACCAACATTGCAACACAAAACCGACGTCGCGTTCCCCACACAGTGAAGATGCTTCGCCTCTCCGACTTAGGTTCCATGAAACCTCGCGTCCTACCGCCCGACCAAAAAGATGACCGCGACGAGGACCTCCGCGACGTCGACGACGTCTTCAACAACGACTACGACGAACTCCGCAACTCCAACACCATCTCCCCACAGAAGCAAAACAGAGACAAAACGTACACCCACCCCTCCCTACCTACACCCTCGCTCCTAACACCCGCCAGCACGCACACCAACCAACCCCCCTCACATCTCCTCCTCCTCCCCGCCGAACTCCGCAACAAGATCTACACCCTCGTCTTCCTAAACACCACCATCAACATCAACAAGCTCCTCACCAAAAAAGACGTGCTCGGCCGCTACCCCAGCGTCCGCGCGGTCCTCTACACCTGCCGCCAGATCTACATCGAAGCCAGCACCTTGTCCTTCACTTTGTGTACCTTTGTCCCTAGCTACTTCGCCCTCCGATTCTTTGCGTCGTCTAATCTGCCTGCAAGTGGATTTGGGAGGGTGGAGAGGCTGTGGCTGACAAGGGGGAATGGGAAAGCCATCATCGAGGGACAGGATGAAATGAAGGGTGCATATCTGAAGGAGTGGTTCGCTTCGCTCAAGCTCTTGGAAATAGAAGTGTGGCGTCTAAAGGTAAACCTGACGGACGCTCAGGCAAAAGAGAAGGTGAGGGAGGCGTTTGGGCTGCCGGATCTGCATGTTGTGGGGAGGCGCGTGGGTGAGGATGGGGTGGTTGCTGTTTAATGGTTTGAACGGGGTGGGATACTAGTGTATGAATGATAATCGGAATCAGGCTTGAAGCTTAAGGGCTTAATGTCATGTTGCGATATGAGGTTCTTGAGCTTCCTGAGTAAGGTCGCGGGCGTCGGCGTTTAGCCCCGCGCTAACTTCTAATCCCCGACCTCGGGACTCCACAAGTCCTGCTTACATAACGCACTCGCCCTCTTCCTCACCCAAACCGCCTTTCAGAGTCCAGATTCCCAGCCCCATCGCTCATCCCCCCATCCGCATTCGCATTAGCGCTGCGACTCCAGGTACACCTTTACCAATCCTAATCCCAATCAACCGGTACTCCCTCGTCAACCAAAGACGCAAGGAATCGCAAAGTCGGTATTACAGAAGAAAGAGCTAGGAAAACACCACACACATACACGACGCTACCGCTAAAATGGATATCCGCGTCCTACGCCCATCGGACATTCCGCATGTTCAGCTTGCGAACATTACGAATTTGCCCGAGAACTACTTTTGCAAGTATTACTTGTATCATGCGATGAGTTGGCCGCAGTTGAGCTATGTGGCTGTTGATGTAAGTTTCTTGTGTTTGAGTTTGTGTTTGTGTTTGTGTATGAGTAAGAGCTAGGAACTGGTGTGAAGATAGGGGGTTAGAGGATGAGAATTGCAGTTGTTCGCGAGTGCTGCGCTTAACTTGTTTATGAAATAATGGTTAAGCAACGGGGAGTTGTTGCGTGGACCACGTGACGATTCGACTGTTCATCTATACTCTGACACTGGATGATACAACATAATCTTCCACTCTACTAAAACCACCGCAGGTATCCCGCCCCCCCAAAACCCCCTACGACCCCCCGAAGATCGTAGGCTACGTCCTCGCCAAAATGGAAGAGGAACCCACCGACGGCGTGCAACACGGCCACATAACCTCCCTCTCCGTAATGCGCACCCATCGCCGCCTCGGTCTCGCCGAGAAACTAATGCGCCAATCCCAACGCGCCATGGCCGAGACCTTCAACGCCCACTACGTCTCCCTACACGTCCGCGTCTCCAACAACGCGGCCCTGCATCTCTACCGCGAAACCCTCGGTTTCACCGTCGACAAGATCGAAGCGAAGTACTATGCTGATGGTGAGGATGCGTATAGTATGAGGATCGAGCTGGCGGATTTGAAGGAGCAGTTGAGGGATGAGGAGGAGGAGATTTTTGGGAGTGAGGGGCTTGATGAGGGGGATGCGGTTGGGAGTGAGGGGCAGGAAGGGAAGAAGGTTGCGAAGAAGGAGAGGAAGACTAAGGTCAAGGTGGGTAGGGGCAAGGGTGTTGTGGATCTTGTGGAGAAGAATGAGGCGGCTGCTGCTTAGGAGGCGGGGGTTGCCATTGCTGAGATTTATCAGCAGATACGGTCTGGGATGAGGTGATGAGGGAGGACGTTCCCTGTCTAGAATGAGGGTATTGATGGATACTCGAGTGGCGAGAAGGACAGAATATTGGTGGTGTGTTGGCATTAGTTCATTGGAGGCACATTCGTTGTGCTGTAGAAGGGGGTTACGCTTGCCAGCGTATATCCATATCTCACCTTCTCATGCTATGCTACACCATGCCATATGCTACCGTATATTCTAAAATCTCCAACTCCATCTCCATGCAACAAGGAAGTAGACAACTAAAAGAATAAAAAGGAGAAGAAAGAAAACGCCCATCCGTGTACCTTGTTGGATATCATAAAGAGCCCAGATCATAATGCCTACCACATAAAATCATCATCTTCCCCATCTCCCTACATCAAACCCCCAAGAACAACCTTCCCCACACCCCCAACCTCACTCTTAAGCCCCGCCCGACAACTATCCTCAAACTCGCGCACGACCCCCGCAAGAATAATCTTCCTCACCCGCGCATCCGCCTTATTAAACAGATCCCCCACCAAACTAGGCACCCCACCCCCCGCACTCGCCACACTCTCAGGCGTACTAAGCATACTAAGTATCTTCGTATAACAATCAATCAAGACATCGCAAAGCGTAGCAAACGTGCTGAAGAAATCGGGGTCGAAAGGCAGACTCGGGGTCTGAAGATGGGTGTAGCTTTCATTCGGAAGCAGAGAATCGTCTGTAGTGGGCGGGGAGTCGAAGCCGCCACCCATGCCACCACTCGTTTCCGAACCAGTGAAACTGTTGCTTGGAGTGAGGAGTGGGAAGTCGCCGTTTGCGCTGCTGGACCGCCGGCCTTTACTCCCCATTGACATGCCCATGCCCATTCCCATGCCCATGTTTGCGCGCTTGAACATCTGGGGGAGGCGGGCGCGGGAGAGGGACGAGGGGGTGGAGCCGTCGGCGGGGTGGATGGATTGGTATTGTTCGAATTCGAGGAGCAGGGCGTTGAGGGCTTTGAGGTAGTCGGACGGGGAGTTGGCGTTTAGGTCGAGGATCGTGGGGAGCGAGAAGCCGAGGAGCAGGTAGTGGGTGGCGCGCCGGGCTTGGTTGCGCGTTGTGAAGGAGGGGAGGCGCGTGAGGTCTGTTTTGGAGAAGAGGAGCGTGTTGAACCAGTAGATGCGGCCTTCGTGGCTGGGGGGTGTTAGTTGTAGTGACAATGTGGGAGGAGAGGACTTACGCCTTCCGCAGGTAGTCGAGGGTGGATATGCGTTTTGAGGCGAGCTCGTGGATGTGCTGGAAGACGAGGTTGGGGTTGGAGCCGTTGGGGACGGGGATGGGCGCTGCAGGAGCTAATGTGCGGTTGGACTGCTGGTTTGCCTGGAGAATCTCCTTCTGGGAGGGCGGATGGCGCAGCGGGATGGGGACAGCCATGTTGCCGAAGGGGGTCTTGGGCTTGTCGACGGCGCTGAGGGGGCTCTTCTCGTAGACCTGGGCCTGGGGCTGTTGGACACTGCCACCCTCGGTCTTGACGTTCTCGCTGCTTTTTTGCTTGCTGCGCGAAAAGGTGGATATGGACAGGGCGGGCCGCGAGGCATTCGTCACGCTACCAGGCACGGGGGCCTTTTCGGGGGAGTAGGTGAGGGCCAGGGTGGCCGAGGGGGTCCTCTTATGCGAGGACGAGGCCGACGCGTTGGTGCGAAGCGAGGCGGACCGTGACCTCCGCAGCGTGGACCCGAGATCGGTGACGGACGAGGCGATGCTGTGCCTGCTGCTGGCGTGCCTGCGTCGTGGTGGCGTCGCTGCGAGGCGGGCGGGAAACTCGTATTGGTCGAGTTCAAGAGGGGGTGTCTTTAGCCCGTTGTTGGCCGCGGGGGTGATGTTGAGTTGGGGCGGCGCGAGGGTCGAGTTTGTTTGCTTGTGTCCTTGTCCCTTGGTCTTGCCGCCGAAAAACGAGGGGCGGCGGGAGAAGAGGCCCTGGCTGGAGTTGTCGGCCATGCTGGTAGCCCATGTGCTTTCCCAGACGTGTGGGGCTACCGAGCGATCAGGGGCTGTTTCACCACGGACCCTGATAACATTGCCGCATTGCTATACCTACTTGTAAATATACTACAGTGTCTTCGTTAGAATGTAGGTGAGGAGATGCGCAGACGGGACTGCACGCTATAAGGCAGATACTGGCGCGCAAAACGAAAACGTGTTTCGATTCGCGGCTACAGCTGATACCGTGAGAACCTATCCCGACGCAGGAACAAGCCGCCCGAGGCCCATCCCTGCCCACCGCCTCTGCCCCTGTCGCCCTACATTGCCATAGCTTCACTGACTATGCCATTCGACCACGTGCGGCTATCAGCACGTTAGGCTGAATCCAGAGTGGCAGGTGCTGCTTCCAAGCGACAAGCTTCCAAGCTTCCCAGTCCCGCGGTTCAGACTCGACACCGTCCGACTCTCTCCCAGACACACCAATACTACCAGGTTCCGCTGTACTGTCGTGTGTTGCTGCCAGCCCCGCCAACTACCCCACGTCACGATGCAGCGCAGACAGAGCGCACGAGTACGCACCACCACGACATTCATATCCGCGCAACACTAACGAAACACAGGGAGAGTGGATTCCCACAGAGGGACAGTGGCCCGTGGATCCTCAGGAAGACGTCGAGGTTTCGGACCAGCGCATATGGGTCGATGGTTGTTTCGACTTTGCCCACCACGGTATGCCGACTGCCGCATTCGAGGTATCCAGCGCTTACAGAGACCAGGCCATGCGGGCGCCATGCTGCAGGCGCGCCAGCTGGGCAACGAGCTGTTCGTTGGTGTGCACTCGGATGAGTCCATCATGGAGAACAAGGGCCCCACGGTGATGCGCCTCGACGAACGGTGCGCACGACCATGACGAATGCGCCGCCTTCAAAGCTAACAACATCAGTGTCGCCGCCGTCGAAGCCTGCCGATGGGCTACCAAAGCCGTCCCGAGGGCGCCCTACGTAACCTCGCTGCCCTGGATCACCCACTACGGCTGCCAGTACGTCGTCCACGGCGATGACATCACCTCCGACAGCGACGGAAAGGACTGCTACCGCTACGTCAAGGCAGCCGGAAGGTTCAAGGTGGTCAAGCGCACACCCGGCATCTCGACGACCGACCTCGTGGGCCGCATGCTGCTGTGCACCAAGTCGCACTTTATACCATCGCTGGAGAAGAGGCTGTCCGGAGACGAGGGCCCGGGTGACGAGAAGGAGCGGTTAAAGACGGGAGAGGAGATGCTTCAGCGCATCAAGGACTACGCGACCGACGCTTCAGGTCGCGCGCCCGGCTGCGACGTGTGGTACTGGCATGCTTCGCGACCCGTCAAGCTACGGAGGACAACCACCAGCAACACCGTAACCTCGCCTACCTCACCCACTGCGCCGCGCCCCGGCACCGTGCGCCAGGCCTCGACCGCCTCAGCCCTCGGACCCGTCAAGGAAGAAAAGGGCAAGTTCCACGAGTTGGTCAAGGGCAAGGGCGTCAAGCCTGGCCAAAAGGTCATATATGTCGACGGAGGCTGGGACCTCTTCTCCTCGGGTCACATCGAGTTCCTCCGCCTCGTCACACAATCCGAAGAAGAAGCCGCAAAGGAGGGCGGCTGGTACACCGACGAAGCAAAGGCAGCGCGCATAGAAAAGTCCGGCGAGGACTACGGCCCCATCTTCCTCATCGCCGGCATCCACGACGACGAAGTCATCAACCACTGGAAAGGCATAAACTACCCCATCATGAACATCTTCGAGCGCGGCCTCTGCGTCCTGCAGTGCAAAGTACGTTCCCTCCTCCCTTCCCCATCCAACCCCCCACTAACCACCCACCCAGTACGTCCACGCAGCCATCTTCGGCGCCCCCTTCTCCCTCTCCAAAGCCTTCCTCCACACGCTCCCCTACGCCCAACCCCTCACCGTCTACCACGGCAAAACCACCTTCATGCCCCTCGCCTTCGACCCCTACGCCGTCCCCAAGGCCCTCAACATATACCGCGAAATCGCTAACCACGACTTCCAAAACGTAAACGCCGCCGAGATTGTGGCAAGGATTATGAAGGGGAGAGCGCTGTATGAGGAGAGGCAGCGCAAGAAGGGCGAGAAGGGCATGACGGAGGAGGTTGAGCGGATTCGTCAGGAGATGGAGAGGGAGCAGAAGAGGAGGGAGGTGGAGAGTCAGTTTGGTCTCTAGGTTAGCTTTCTAGTGAACTGTGGGGCGTTCTGGGGATAGTGAGAGAAATGATAGGGAGGGATTTGCTAGCGTGACCGACGTTCTATACCAATCTTCAACAGATGTCTCAATCAGCTTCCATGGTGCGCACAGACTTATCCCATCCGCCACACGGTCTTTCCCAGTCCCCCCGATCGTCCGACAGACTCCAATCCGTGATTCCATACCTTCGTCAAGCCAAATCCCTCACTTCCCATTTCTCCTCCCCTCCAAACAAACAGCGCGATGTCCAACATGTACGCTCGCTCACTGTTTTACAACTATCAACTTGCACTAACAACCCACCTAGCACTCAGCTAACATTTCCATTCCTCCGCCTGCCCGCAGAACTCCGCAACAAGATCTACACCCACATAGCCCTCACCACCACCGTCCCTATTAAGCGAACCATCCAAACACAAGATAGGACCTCTCTCGACTTCACCTTCGAGCCCCCAGGGCTGCTTTCAACATGCAAACAAATCCGAGCCGAAGCCACCAGCCTAATCTACGCCCACACCACACTAGATCTCAGCTACACCGACGGCGTATCCTGGCCTGTCCATCCCCCCAAACACCCGCTATGCAATCTCATCACCTCGGCCCGCTTCTCTCTTACTACGATTCGGGCAGTAATGCACTGGGGTTACACGGGAGCGATCTCGCCTCCGACTACATACCTACCGCATCTGCGCGTGCTGCACGTACGGGCGAGTGAGGATATTGTGAATCGAGACAGATGTAGGGAGAAGGTGTGGATGTGGTGTGGGAATCAAAATGTGAAAGTGGAGTTTGAGACGGGGTGGGGGGAGCAGAGGGATGAGTTGGAGCTTTGGAGGGTGGGGCCGCATGAGAGGGGGTGGTTTTGGAGGGTGAGGGGTGTAGGAGGGTAGGAGGGGGTGGTGATGGATGGCTAGGGGTTTGGTTGTGAATGAGGTTGATATGTTGGGTATTTAGATTAGTAGATGATGTTGTTGTGTATGTTAATTTGACGAGTGGGTGGTTGACGGAACTGAGGAGGGGACTTGAAGAGAGCGTTGACATCACGCTGTTGGCTTGAGGGGTTGTGGATGACATTGTAATGAGACTGAGGTTATATCCCAATCTTTAATAGATGTTTTTATCTTCTTCGTAGTGTAGAAGGGGTTGATAAATCTTCTTAACAGAAAATCCTCATCCGAATCTCGGAAGCCAGACGCGCGGTATCGAGTATGTCGAAGACCAAATTACAGACTTATTTTTGATCGGCTCCCATGCCCTCTCTTGTATCCAGTCTCATCCGTTTCCATTCCCTCAATCTTCAATACCATCCCGCCATTAATCCTCCAACAGCTCACGTGCGTCGAAGAGCGAGCCAGGAGGGCGACATGGAAGATCCAGGCCTGTCTCAAAGACAATATCCAAAGACTCTTTGTCAAACCACTTCCCTATCGCTTCCCTCATCAACGAGCCATCCAATAGGTTCACAGCCCAGGCCCTACAAATAACATGCACACGCTCCAGACGTAGCAAGTCCAAGGTACAACATTTAGCATCTTGCGAGTTCTTCACGCGCGTACCAACCTCGCACTCCATGAGGTCGGCGAACGATTCGCTGATACGGAGCGAGGTGACGTAGGCGCAGAGTTGGTGGGACGATTTCGAGTGGAGCCAGTACCAGGTGTCGCCGGGAAGCGTGTCGATGTTAGTCTGAGCGTATACGAGTGCGGTAGCTTCGGAGCGGGTTTGTTGGCAGGTGGAGAGAAGGCCCGGGAGGTGGAGTTGCGCGGTGAATTTGAAAGAGGTCAAATTGGTAATGGTCGCGGCAATGTGGATGTGTTTAGATTGGCCTACGTAGGTGTAGATCTTGTTGCGCAATTCTGCGGGGAGGCGGAGGAGAGGAGATGTGAGTGTGTTGGTAAGGGAGCTAGGCACGTGCGTCAGTGAGTGGATGATGGTGTTTAGTGACGGCGCAGGTCGCGGAGACATACATTTCGGACATGGTAGAGGCGACTCCAACAGCTGTAGAAGATGGAAGCTCCATTATGTGTGGGTTAGAGAATGTAGGGTGTATTGATCTCGGCTAGTGGGTAGTTGACTGAACAAGGTAGAGAACCTGACAAGAACAAACAGTTCACTGTGATTCGCATAGTTCAGACTGGCGCAGTTAGAGCACTAGCGGTGCTGCTAGCTTATCTGCCGTTATACCACCCACGGTTCGAGATCAAGATACACAGCCTCCTCTACTTACCCACCATGAAGACTACAGCCACAACCGCGACTACAGCTGCAACCTCCGAAACCAACAGCGCAATGTCCGCGATGTACGTATCCCGTTATACATCCATCAACTTGCACTAACCAGCTAACCAGCACTCATCCCACATCCCCGTTCCTCCGCCTACCCGCCGAGCTCCGCAACAACATCTACACCTTTATCGGTCTCTCAACCAAAATAGAAGTCGTCAATTGGCAAAGGACGTCTAAACACCACCCAGTCTTCTACACCATCCCCCCATTCCTGCGCACGTGTAAACAGATCCGCAGCGAAGCCACCGCTCTCATCTACGCATATGCCCTCTTCGACATTACCCATGGCAACGACTTCTCCTGGACCACGCGTTGCGTTGGGGCAAAGTTTTGTACTACGTTGCAGATCGACTGGGTGCTTTCGAGTCACATTGCAGGACACGTTAACGCGAGAAGTTTCAGGCCTCTTGTGTGCCCACTACCAAATCTGGAGAGGGTGGAGGTGACGTGGGCATCTTCTCAGTCGGGATGTGAGAGGAAAAGAGTGGCGCTCAGGGAGTGGTTCAAAAAGGAGGATTTGGTGGTCGCGTTTAGGGATCGTGAGGGGATGTTGACGGATTGGTAGACATCTGGATACCTGGGCATCTGTGGGAGATTGAGGTCGACAGAATGGAGTAGAGGACTCGAAGAGAGCGATCCATGTATTGTGTAATGTGCGAGTTAACCAAATATGGCTACTTTGATTCGCTTTCTCTTTGACTAGTCAATTCCCGCGACATCTGAGAGTACCCTCCCCCAGCCCACCGCTTATCCTACTAATGACTCAAAGACAACCTCTACAGTAACGTCCTCACACCACGCTCTCAAAGCTGCCCTGATCTTTTCCTCTTGCCAAAGCTTGTACGCATTCCATGACCACACGTGGATTTTCTTCAAGTTCGGCAGCCATTCAGCAGGAGGTACATACTCTCTAGTAAAACCCCGTCGCCGACTGGGATACCATGCGATATAATCGGCAAAAGTCGAACCAAGCTTGATTGTAGTGACATGCTCCAAGAGCTCGTGGCTAAAACGCGGGTACTGTAATGAGTAGATCTCGAACTTGAGATAGAATATTGCGTGGGCGCATATCAGTGGGGTGGCTTCGTATCGGGTCTGCGTACACGCTTGGAGTAGGCCTGGAAGGGGGAAGCTGTACTTGATAAAGGTGCGGGTGCTACCTTCTATCTTTTCGATCTCTTTTGCTCGAACGGTTGTAGAGAGGGCTAGATAAGTATATATTCTGTTGCGCAGATCGGCAGGGAGACGGAGGAGGGGGTATTTGAGGGTATTGGTGACAGTGCTGGGCGTGTGAGTTAGTGGGTGGTGTCGAGTAGATGGCGCGAGTCTTACATTTGGGACATGGCGGTGGAGGATGCAATGGCTCTAGGAGAAGTTTCCATTCTTTGGACAGACAGAGAAGTAAAGTATAGTGATTTTGACTAGTGGGTAGTTGACGGAACTGAGTAAGTAGTCTGGAGTCAGTGCTCCCGAGGTCGATTTATCTACACTGCGCTAGCTGCCTAGCTAAGGACTAATACTGCAATCCGCTTCCCTTTCGACTAGCCAGCTCTCGTGACGTCTAAAGTACCCTCTACCTGCCCACCGTCTATTCTCTCAGTCACACAAAGATGATCTGCATGATATTCTTCTTGCACAACACCTCCAGTGCTGTCCCTGTAGTAAATCCCCACTGTTGCATACATGCGTCATACTTGATGTAAATTTTCTGCACGTTCGGCAGCCATTTGGTCGGAAATTGCAGTCCTTCATAGCCCCTACCTTTTCCAATATAGTGGGAAACGAGGCATGCCACACGACCCCCAATCGTAATCGAGGTAACGAACTCGCCGATTCCGTGGTCACAGCTGCCGTTCAGCCAGGCACCCGTGTGACACTGAGTAAAATCGAAGAGAGCTGATCTGTATACTATCGAGGTGGCTTCGTGACGGATTTGTTTGCACGCCTTGAGTTGTTCTGGAACCTGGAAGCTGCATGTGAGAGACCCTTCAGGTTGAATGGCTTTAATGATAGTAGAGAGGCCGACGTAGGTGTAGATCTGGTTTCGCAGCTCAGCGGGCAGACGAAGGAGTGGAGAGTTTATTTGATTGACGGATGTACTGGGAAGGTTGTCAGTGGGAAGTGCGGGGAATGGCGGTAGACGTACACTTCGGACATGACGCTGTCTGGTTGAGGGGCCGGTGAGTTTGCGGTCTCCATGTTGAGTAAGTAGAGGATATTGTATATGTTGAGGTGGGTGGTGGGTGTGAGCTATTGAGGTATCTTGTATTGTACTGTAATGACTACCGACTAAATAATACGGAAGGAGAAACTATGTACTTATTGAGAAATCACGTGACAGTGTGCAGCCTTATGTGGGGGGATGAAAGTAGTGAAATTGCCACGAGGAAAGAGTCGCCCCAGAGCCGGCCGAGAAGAGAACACGAGCACAGCCTAAGCTAGGTTCTGTCCGATCCTAGTAACTCCATCTTAGGGGGTTCTACCCAAAATGTCCTCCCACTCTGACTTCCAACAAATACCGTCATAGATGTCCTCGAAGATAACTTCAGGTGTGTTGTTCCCACACCAGGCCCTCAGTGCCGCACTGACACGGTTGTCTTCAAACCATTCCCTGTCAGGACTCGATACGAGGCGGACTATCTCCACATTTGGCAGCACGCTGATAGTGCCCTTGTACGTATCAGCCCAGAAATCGTCCTTCTTAACGAATTTTCGAACCGCAAATTGCAGAAATCTGGATCCGACTCTGACGGAGGTCATACGCTCGCAGCAGTTGTCTTCGCAATGGTGGAACAGAACTGCCAGGGGGCCACACCTGGAAAATTCGAAAAGAGCATGTTTGTAAAGGAGGGAAGTGGCTTCTTGGCGGACTTGCTTGCAGGTGTTGAGGAGGTTGGGTTGCGGGTATTTGAGTAGCTTTTTGTCTTTCCATGTTTTGGCATGTGTCTGGGGGCGTGTGACGACTTGAATGGTTGTAGCGACGCCCACGTAGGCGTAGATCTTATTTCGTAGCTCAGCGGGCAGGCGGAGAAGCGGCGACTCGAGCTGGTTTCTGAGAGTGCTTGGTTCAAATGTTAGTACTTGCGACCGGGTGAGAGACAGCGAGCTTACATGTTTGCTTCAGTCTCTTCGCCTAGGAAGGCCGCCGAGGAAGCGTTGGCCTCCATGTTGCAGGGGCGCGGAGATTGGCGGCACTTGACGTTGGTTGTGGGTGGGGGTCGGAGGGAGACAGAAAGATTGAGAAGTGAAGGCAGGGTTTACTGCGCTATCCCGGAAGGCGCTAGTGCGGAAATCGACTTCCTAGGTACTTCTTGTGACTAATCAGGCCCATTTGCCTTTAAGGTCACTCCCCAGGCCTTGCGTCACTTGAGCTGCTCGAGGAGGATAGCTGAGTGCTTCATTCTCGTGGCCTACGATTTCGAACGCAGCGAATGTGTATACGGTCTATCAACAGTGCATGGAACTGAAACAAAATTCTCATTGTGTAAGATGCATCTATTATTATTGTCGACCTCTTAATCTACACAGTCTTGACCCGAACTGTGAGCGACCATTGACCCAGCCAGCTTATTCCTCGAAGATGATCTCAAGCGATTCGTTTTGAAACCACTTTCTCAGAGCTGCTGGATCCGTAATGCTCTTCCACCCACAGAATATCTTCTGTACATACAAGCTCTTCAGACTTGGCAGGCATCCAGTTGGTGTCCTGTTTATTCTCCAAGAACGTGGTACGGAATCGGAGTTGGACATTACGGAACAATCCAAGTAACCAGACATCCTGATTGAGGTAATGAGACTGCAGATGTTGCGATTGAATGTTCTATCTAGCAAGAAGGTTCCGCTGTGGTTGGTGATGTCGAAGATGGCTAGGCTGTAGAGCAACGTGGTGGCTTCGTGCTGTATCTGCTTGCAACTTCTAACAAGACCTGGGGCTCTCAAGCAGAAGATTTGTTTCAAAAGGCTGCTCTCGGAGGCTTCTGTCACTTTGATGGTCGTAGAGAGCGAGACGAAGGTGTAGATCTTATTGCGGATCTCGGCAGGCAGGCGAAGAAGAGGTGAGTTGAGCTGGTTTCTGAGCGTACTAGCCGGAGAGTCAGTCATTGTGAGCGTGCATTTGAGGGCGATGTGCTTACATTTCTGACAATTCGCTGTCGCAAGGCAAGGCTGCGCGCGCGAAATTGCTCTCCATCGTGAGTATTGCGCTGGAAGAAGGTGATGTTGTGTAACGAAAGCCAGCAGTGATCGTAGTTAAAAGACAAGGACTGGAGTGTGTTGAGAAGCGATGTGAGTGTAACCCCGGGTAACTGTTGCATTCGAGTAGAGGAGGCGACTATCTAGTGGCCATTACCCTTTTGGGTAGCAGCAAACGCTATGACGTACAAGCCGCGCTCTCATCCTCCAAAGCTCTTCGCACGGACTCAGGATGGGCTTCAAAGACGACCTCCAAGTTTGTATTCTCTGTCCAGACCCGCAGCTTTTCCCGTATACCATCGACATCATCTAGCGGCCAGATACCGGAAACATAAACGCGCACTAAAGCCGGAAAACTCAAAATCGTCGTGCCTTCCAAATCATTCGCCCCCCAACGGGGTATGCGAATGGATGTAATAAGTTGACAGACCGCCAGTTTAGCGATATCCCGGAGGAGCCGCATATCATCCCAGGCCCTTTCGAAGATATGGTAGATCGCTCTAGCGAAGAACATTGTACGGGCTTCGAAACGGAGTTGAGAACAGGCTGATATGAGAGCCGTAGATCTCTTGTAGAAGTAGGAACTTAAAGAGTGTATATAGATCTAGAGTAGTAGCGCCTAGTTAAGAGAAACTCTAGAAGATAAATTAACACTTATTTAATAGTATTTTAATTAATAACTAATACTATACTATTACTAATATTCTTTTACTTATTTTTAGCGTAATATACACTATTTACTTATTTCTACACTTATAATCTAAGTATACTAATATAGTACTTTAGCTATTTAAGCTTTATTTTCTTTTCTAAATAGCTTTTTTATAAAGTTTATATTCTTTTTACTTATAATTTTTCTTATACTTTATTTTTATTAGAACTTTTTTATTAGTAAACTAATAATTTTATAGCTTATAAACTAGTTCTAAAAAAGTAAAGTCTTTTACTAGTATACTAAAGAATATATAACTAAAAGTTTTAGTACTTTAAAAATAAATAAGCTAAAGCTTAGAGCTTTAGCGCTACTACTTTTAAGAAAGTTAAAGCTTTTAAATTTAGACTAGCTATAAAGCTATTTTAATACTAAAGCACTTTATAAAGAGATTTTAATACTAATTTTTAAGAAAATTATAATATAATTATATACGCTTATTAGCTTATAACTAATAAAGTAATATATTTTAAAAATTTATAGTTAGAATATATATACTAAAATCTTAGTAAAAGCGCACTTTTTCTATTTTTTAAATTTTTATAACTTTTAGAACTTTAAAAATATATTAAAAATACTAATAGTAACTTAAAGCTAATACTAAAAGCTATACTATCTAAATAACTTTTTTATAAGTTTCTAAAGTAATTATAAGTTAATCTAAAACTAATCTTATTACTAGTTATATTACGCTATCTTACTAATACTTAACTAAATTATTTTATTATTAATTTACTTTAATTACTTATCTCTAAATTATATTACTATTACTACTTATATAAGTTCTGTTAAGATTATTATAAAAAATAGTATTATAGTAAATTTTATAACTTTTTTTTATTATTTTTATAACTACTACTATTATTTATACTTTTAAAGCGTACTTTACTAATAATATAGTTTTTACTAAAACTATTAATAGCTACTATATTATATATATTTTTTATAAGTACTTAAAGTAAGTAAGTTTTACTATTATTTTTTACTAAAACTTTATATTTAAGAATTTTATTAATAAGATAGAATAGTTTTTTTATAAGCTAAATCTTAATATTATAAATTATTTAGTAGCGAAAAATTTATATATTACTAAAATTTTAAAGAGGCTTATTCTAAGTATACTAATAATTAAGTACTCTCTTTAGAGTAGAGATACTATCTATATTTATTTTACTATATATATAATTAAAATTAAGATAAAGCTATATTTAAGTAAGATAATAAAAAGTTATATTTTCTAGTAGTAAACTATATTAAAAGAGATTTTTAAGAAAAGTAATAAGAAATAGAATAAAAATAAAAAAATATATATAAGTTATCTTTAGTAGGTAAATACTATTATATAAATAGTAGTAGTATTAAAGTTTTACTAAAGCTAGTAAAAGTATAAAGAATAGTTATTATATTATAGTTATTAGTAGATAAAGATAATATTATAGTTATAGTTAATAGAGAATAAATATAGTAAGTTTTATTAGTAGTATACTTATTACTATATATTATATTATTTCTAGTTATTTCTAGTTATAGTATAAAGAAAGTTATATAAGTAAGTATAGAGTTAGTCTATACTATAAGCTAGTAATAATCTTATTACTTTCTCTTTAGGTCTAAGAGATAGAGTCTATAGTATACTTTTTTTAAAATTACGTAATTACGTAATTATATAATTACGTAATAACGCGTTACTATATTAGACTCTAAATTTAAACTTAAAAATCTTTAATATAAGCTTAGATTTATAACTTATAACTTTATAATACTTATATCTATACTACTAATATAATAATTACTACGCGCGTAATTACAATACGCTAACTACTTTATATTTATAATATAATACTAATAGCTATCTAGACTATTAACTAGCACTAGTACTAGCTTTATATAATTATATAATACTAAAAAGAAACTAAGTAAGTCTAACACTAGTATAAAGCCTTTAATATAATCTAAGATAATCTAAGATATCTACGTAAAACCTATATAATTACTAGTAATCTATATTCTATATATAATTATCTCTAAGTCTAGCTATATTAGCTACTATATTATATAACTATTCTTATAGTCTAATACTATACTATACTTTTATTACCTCTAAGATTATATAAAGTACTTTCTACTTCTACTCTATATATCTATTATTCTTAGTAACTTTAATAAATAACTACTTATTAGGCGTTACTAGCCTATTTATCTCTAGTTTAGTATCTAAACTCTTTACTTAGTTAAACTACTCTTTAGTAATAGAGTAAGTATTTCTAAAAAAGTTTATATAGAACTTATAGAATATACTAGCTATACTTAAGTCTATAATATATTTATTATCTAAGTTAATCTAGTTTATAAAATTAAAGTTATTATACTAGAACTTTAGCTATAAAAGTAAAGTAGATTAATATAAAATTATATAAATATAAACCTCTACTAAATAATCTAGGTAAAGCTATTACTTATAAAAGGTTTCTCTAAGTTTCTATACTAGTAGAGCTTATACTTATATAGATTAGTATAGTCTAGAAAAGTCTAAAGAAATCTAAAGTAGTTTATAGCTAAGTAGTTATAATAAAGTTTTTCTTTTTTCTAAAAGTATATTTTATATAAGATAGAGAATTAAAAAATTTTAGAAAATTATATAAGCGCTAAGCCTAAACTAAAATATAGCCTATATATTAATATTAGAAAATCTTTTTTTAGACTACCTATCTAGACTTCTTACTTTTACTTATTATTTAGTAAGTATTTCTAAAATCTCTATATATTAGAATTAGTCTAGACTACTTTAGATTAGAGTAGATCTAAGCTAGTCTAGCGTAGTTTAGCTTTACTTTTTTTTTTCTTTTACTAATAAGTGTAGAAGCCTATTAACTAATACTATTAACTATAATCTAGTGTAATCTTATACTATCTATCTCTATCTTTTACTACTTAGAGTATTTTAGTTATAACTAGCTATCTTTAATTTTAATCTAGTTCTATTTATACTAATCTAGTTATAATATAAGTACTTAGAGTCTAGTAACTAAGAGATATAACTACTAAGGCTAAATATAACTTAAATAGTTATATATACTATAGTAACGTCTTATATACTACTATTAAAGATAACTAGTAGACTAATCTAGTACTCTACTACTATCTACTAGATAAGAACTATAAGATATAGATTAGTACTTCTTTCTAAAGCTATCTAGACTAATTTATACTAACTTAGACTTTATAGAGTAGAACTACTATAATAGTATTTTATACTATTAGTAA